TCACCACCGCCGACCACACAGGTTGCCACGGGGACACATTCACTGGATCCCCAGGTGCCTAACTCGGAACGCATCCGAAGATTGGCCGAACTGAAAAAGGAGCAGGAGGACGTGATTGCCCAATCGAATGAAACTAGGCAACGGATGGCCACTCTTCCAACAGGGGAAGACAACCATCCTCCAGAATTCCAAGCCTTGCTCGAGGAGTACAAACAACTGTACAACTGGCACACCGACTTGGACAGACTTATCCAGTCGGAGGAACAGCAAGTCCATCTCGCCACAGCCTTAACACCAACAACGACCACACAGGCCGTAACGTTGGCAACTTTGGCAAGCGATACGGCCATTGCAAAGGGTAGAATCGCCATACAAGAGGCGGAAGGAATTTTGCGGCAAATACAGCAGCGGGCCGAAAACGGACTCGAGCCGGATGCTCAGAAAACAATCTCTGAGTTCACCGCTTACATACAACTTGTGAGAAACCTGATACAACCAGGTGTGGTTGAACCGGGAGTCCATTCTCAACTTGTACAGAACGGCATAAACCAGCTGCGAGAATACAGCCGGAGTCAACGTCGACCAACGGACGTCGACAGGAGGACTCCGGACACATTACCGTCGACCTCGTCGGCGGCGGAGATGCACTCGGCAATGCGCAAAAGCCGCAGGGAGAAGGTGTTCTCCATAATCACCGATGGATGGAATCTACTGGATCACCTCCAGAGATCTTTTGTCAACGAGACACCATCCGACGCCGAAACTCTTAAAGTGGCAAAACAGAAGATGAACGACCTGATGGCCTACTTGAAAAATGCGGATCATCTCATCAGTAATGATGAACCGACCGAGGTCGACGAACGACAACTGAGGTCGGTAGTGAAACGGATCACAAAGATCCTTGATGCGGAGCCCGCGTATACTGAAAGGATCCCGACGCCGTCGCCACCCCGCCGAGCACCACCGACTACAACAGCGGTGATGACTCTAGTCGGCATAACGCCTATGGGTAACTTACCGGCTAACTTGGATATAATCACCCAAGCTGGACAAGACTTAGCCGACATCTTTTACCACCGACTCAGTGGGACCCTAACGGAACAGGAGGAAACCGACCTCACCCGGACCGACCGAGCGTTACGACTCGAGTTGGATTGGGCCGATACTCTATGCTCATGGGGAACTCCACCGCTAGGTCCGAACCGGGACCGACTCGTCGAGGCACTGCAGTCGGTGATTGACCACGTCAAACAGTACTTGGCAAACCCGAACAAAGCGGGAGCGCCGGTACAAACGGGCCAGAAAACACCCTCCCCAGTCCCATCACCCGGACTCGACGTCGAACTCCCATTCGCAGAAGCGGTTGACCAAAGAGAAGTCAGCATCGGGGAGGTCGAAGATCAGTACCGAGAAGCTCGGAAAAAAAACTCCGGGAGCTCGACCCTAACAACGCCATGGAGAAACAAATGCGCGATGCCTTGGATCAGCAGTATAGCATCTGTTCTAGGCGGGTCGAAGACGTGGAAAATCTTAGAGGCTAACCCACAAAGGGTTCAGCCGATTTCCATTTAGCCGCAGCCAATTGCTCCGCAACAACCGCCGAAGCCCACATTGGCAGAACAGCGTGAAGCACTCGACCAGAAGCTGGCCCGCGCACAGAAGATTGCCGCTAACCTACAACAACAGGTCGATGGTATGGACGGAACAAATCCGACCATTTGTAACATCCGGACGGCAATTGCAGACCAACTCAAGATCTCCCAGATGCACGTCCAAGATATAGAAGCGGAGATCGACGTGCTCCGACGTAATTGGATGACAGATAAAGTACGTCAAGAACGACTCGAGAAACACCGGAAAGAAGCAGAACAATGCGCATCCGGCTCACAACAGCCGACCACCTCGAGTCAGCCGACCCCGACAACAGTTCGGATTCAACCTCAGCCAACCTCAACAGCAGGCTTGGCCCAACCAAAACCAATGGAAATGGCCGACCAGCCCATGTCTCCGGCCACGGAAGCTCGGATCATGGAAGCTATACCGGACACGGAAGAATTGCCGAGTACGGTCGCGCCACATATAGTCAAACTATTGGCCAGAGTAGCGGAACTCATCACAGAGATGAGAGCCCGCAGGAACTTTTGCGAAGACAACAGCCAAGAAGCGAACGACTTAGACCAAGATATCCTGGCTTGGGGAAATAACGCTCGGTTCATACGGCGACTTTGTCATCCGGACGCCCCACAAACGACCAGGACTCGACAGCATCTGATTCAAACGACCTCGTGGCTGTAAACGAGAGTGAATGAGTACGAGAAAGAGAAGGAACGGGACAAGGAAAAGGAATCGACCAAACTGGCAACAAACGCCATGGCTGAAGGTCGACCGTCTCGGATCACACAGATCCAGTCGGCTCGGAAACCAACCTCCGATTCTGTCCGACCAACCTTCGATTTTTTGAGCTCGGAAACCAACCTTCGATTTTTTCCGACCTTCCAAAGTTGACCATAACCGACCACAAGTCGGAAGTCGGAAACTCAGTCAACACGACGGAGGAAGATCGATAGCTGTCTGTGATGGACGAACTCGACTTGAAGGAGCTTGTTCAGCCCCACATGGGTATGTTATTGCAGGTTTACCCTTGTCGACCACCGACGGACGGGATAGCCGACCTACGATGGAAGTCGACCTGCCACTTCCATCGAAAGAACCCACGATTTCCGATCGGACCTTCGAGCCAGTTCGACTCGGATTACTCCAAACCAGGCTCGTGGTAGCAGATTGAACGGTTGCAACCGACCACATTGGAACGGAACTGCTGTACATGACGACCACACAGGCCGCATGACTTACATACAGCTTTTTCCGACCTGAGCTCTAAGAATTCGGAACATAGCCAAATTTCTCCTAGCCGCCGATCGACTTGTCGGTAGGCCGACCTTGGTCAAACCGACCTCGGTCCTATTCCCCATTCAGAGAGGATGCCTCGGCATTTGCAACCGCAACAGTGCCTCTCTATCCCGAACGGACGGATACGAGTCGGAAGTAAGTTTTTAACCGTGCTTATCCGACTTCGGTGAATGTAACCGGTTATGACGGGTAACCCGGGAATCGACGCCCCGGACTCAACCTTACCGGATGAAAGTAAACAGGAGACCCCGTGGAGACTCAATTGCCCCGTGGACGTCATCCTAGTCGGAATAGGACCCCCGGACAGATTTTTGCATTTTTTTTTAGTATTTTTCCTAACAAACGGAATTGTATTTTTCTAGTTTGATCTCCTTGACAGATCTGTTTTGTAACCCCTTTTGCTCACTGGAATTGTGATTAAACTTTATTTCATACTTTCTTTCGCGCTGCATAAACTTTCATTACATTTTTCTTTTCACATTGTTCTCCGATGCCAACAGAAGCAAGAAGCCAGCCAACAGATGCATCACCGGTCCAACGAAACGCCCGAGCGGCTTCCGGATTTCTTGGCCGTGAGTGGCTTCCACTCATGGGTTCGGAAGTGAAGAAGGGACGGTCGACCAGACACCGGACTCCCACTGCCAGAGAACGCGTACCGGCGACCCCACATGGGTCCAACCGGAGAGTTGTGCGGTATTGGTGCGGTACCGAGTCGGAGCATCCTTCGCAGGAGCTCGGATTCCCGCCCAGAGGCATGTCAGAGGCGTACGACTCGCGTTGGATAGAGTCCAGTCTGCGCATCATCACACAGCTGATGGCACACAGCACGTGGTTGCCGCCAGCACTTCTTTCACGCTATCAGAAGCTCAAGAACCTTCCTGGCATCCACTTGCTAGATTTAGCCATCAGTGCTTTGTTCTTGCTTTCCTACTATTACGCAGCATTGTTCCCCCTTTATTTGTACAATAAAGCTCACTCGTGATCTCCTCGTGCTTGTCTGTTACATAGGATCCCTCGCAATAAGTTTTGCAAATTCTTACCTATTTTGATTATAATTTACTAAGTTCTAATTTTCTTTCCTATTTTTTTCATACTTATTTTGTTTTCGATTTTTTTCCAGCCAGGTGTTGACGAAGATGAACTGAACAGATATGGCAATGGCAGTGACCAGTAAATGCATCGAACCTGACTGTTGCGGCAATTACCGCCACCTGGACTGTCTTTCCCATCCCCGTTCTCGTCTTAGCAGTCTGCGACGCGCTAACCAACGCCGCGATTCTCTTCGCTCTGATTCGCACCCATTCTAGCAGCACCCCGTTTAACATCTGCCTCATCAGTTTGATATTAACCAACCTTTTACATTTCTTTTCCGTTGCGCCGATATGTTAACCGAACGGCTGTTCTGTCGGGTTAATTACGAGCAACCGACGCAATGGGCGCTTTTGGTCTTCACGGAGTTCTGGTGCTACGCGCTCACGCACGTCACGGTGTTTGCCGGTTTACCGTTTATTATGTTGAAGCGACGGCATCGCGCCCAGGTAGTCACTGCCCAGCGGGAGGGCAGTTTATCGGGAACAACGAATTACGCGCTCGACAGCCACAGTCAACCGGGACCACGTCGGTCGACAGGTTATCGCGTGCTGACGATTCTGACTATAAAGGCGCTGATTTGTTAGACGCCGGATATGGTTTACTAACTTTACTTTAAGCTGAGTTTATTGAGCGGGTATAATAACTCACTGTTCTACGAAACAGCCGGGACGATGTATCTGTTCCTGGCGGCGTTCAATCGTGTTCATTATTTTCGTTTCTGTTAATGAAGCTGTGCACCCGTGCAGTTAGAGGAAGTTTCAGGCACAGCTTTACATAATGTAAACGAACCATAAGTTTCGTCCCAACAGTAAAGCAAACAGAATCACATCAAAGAAAAGACGTAAAGCAGTAACCGCTAGGGTTTAGAGGACACTGTTATCACTGAAACATTCCCCGCGGTGGCAGATGAATTTGGTGTAGTTGTCGCCATAGTTGACTTGGTTGTTGTCGCAACGGTTGACACTGTTGTTGGCGAAGCAGTCCCTGTAACTGATATCTTACTTGTCGTAACGGTTCTTGAGGAAACGTTCTGCCGGATCTCCGTCGTGACAACGCTTGCCACAGTTACGCTCGGCAATGTCCCAGATATTGCCTTCGTTGTAATCGTTGCAGCGATCTTCGACGAAACGTTTTGCGTTAGCGGTATTTTTATTGTGAAACCCCTTGTCACAACACCGTGTTTTATTTTCGCCGTTGTTGCCGCTGTCTTCCTGGGCATCGGGATGGCCGTGGCGATTGTCTCACCCACTTTCAGTCCAGTCAACGGGTCCATCTCATCCCGGAATGTCGGATCCACCGGCGGCAAGTTTTTCCTTTCGAACAAAGTCCGCAGCATTTCCGCGTTCGTAGTATTCGTGTAGTTTCCGGTGTAAAGATCTTCTGGACTTTCCATCACCACCCCGCTGTGTCTGTGATACGTGTGGATGGCCATCGAGTTGCTCCAGTTCATCTTCCCAAATTCCGTGAAAAACCTACGCAGTCCGTGTGGGTGCGGGTTGTTGCAGACGGCACCGGCGACATAATTAGATTCCCGGTATATGATGCTTAAATACCGGGAAACCTACACAGGAATTTAGTCAAACATATGCTGTAGCCTGTAAGGCAAGGAAGATAACAATTTGTTGGTATTTTTAGAAAACTTGTCAACGAACCTTAGCTTGATTAAAATTCCAATCTTTCTGGTAGATATCCTCGTAACTGCGCCGCCCGGCGTTGAGGAGCGGAGCCGAGTTCCGGCCGGCAACGAAGCCGATGTTGTAGCCGTCTTCGTCGCCGTAGCACGTGATGGATTGCTTCTGCTGCAGGATTTCCTTGATACGCTCGCCACGGACGAAGAACACGTCAAAATCCACGGCAACGCCCCCGTATTCCAGTAGAGCGTCCAGTTTAGCGATGTCGGCAGAGTGCTCTCGATATGCCACTTCCTTTTTGTTGCCTTTACCAACTCGTTTCGTTATGTTACGGAAGCGAAATTCCATGATGCCGCCTTTCATAGCCGCTTGCCAATATATACCTAATGACGCTGCATGTATTACTTAACAGAGCCAAAGCATACATATACTCTACCCGGGTAAGTGTAATAAATACAGTGATCAGTAGTACGAATAAATTTTTATCGAAAAAATGTTGAAATATTTATTCGTTAGCAATTGCAGCGTTGGATTAAAACAGTTGGTGCATCGTTCTAACGCTAACTGCACAAATAAGCGGCTAATACTCTGCGCAAACTGCGAACCCATTGCTGATAATTTGTGCGCACTGGGCTTGTTGCTGCATGCTGCTTTTTGTTTTTGTTTGCAGACTTTAAATTCGCGTTTAAGTAAACAGCATCGGTGAGGTCGTTTTAATTTAGTGCATTCAGAAAACAGTGAATCAACAATTAATTTTTATCTCACCGCTTGGTTCCGCATCGCCATGAACGAGAATTTTATCCGGCCGGACATTCTTCAGCGCCGACATTATGCTGACATAATCCAGAAACCGCAGCGTCGTATTACCGTTATCCGGTTTAAATCGAATGTAATGCACGTAAAATTTCCCGTTGTACGGGAAGCCATCGGACACTTCCTTGCGATCCTGCAGGCGATGCATGGACAGACTGGCAATGCTGAACCACGTCGCTACTCCCATGTACAACACCACCACCAGCAGTAGCGGGGGGCGAGTGCGGATGGCCCGAAGGGAGGACATCACGGTGTCGTTAACCCACAGCGACGTTTTGACGCAGCAGTGGTGGTGCGGGCAGAAGATTGTCGCCTGCTGATTCTGCGTACAGCGGAGGAGCATGAAGAGCGGACAACGCATACTTTGAAGTATCGCTGCAGGCAAGATTGTACCTCGTACTATAACAAATTCGATGAAGTATCCGCATTAGAGTGCAGTATACGGTAATAAGAGACACAGATTTGCAGCTGATAATTTACAGCGACTGCGCATCCCTTCAAGTGTGACGGAGTCAACATGTTTTTTTCTTATTAACCAGGTAGCTTGACACTTGTTTGTCAATGCCGTTTTGATGCGTTAATGAGACAATGAAACTTAAACGGCAGAAGATGAAAATTATAGAAGCACACTATTAAGTCACTTAAGTTGCTGACTCTGTACGTACTTTATTTCAGTAGCGCGATAACAATATCAAGATTAAATACGGTTAAACAAAACAACATTCTCGACGGTACCCATTACTAAAACAGCATTACCACGTTGAATTGCTAATGAGACGCTTTTAACAGAATGTGCGGAGTACTGAGAAAAACGTTACAGCCTTTCCGGGTACCTTTCCAAATTATCTGCAAATTTGGGAAGGTACTCAGTCCTTTGCACTAAAAAGTTCTACGTAAAACGCACTACTCTATGTATAATACTAGTACTTTAAATCAACATGATCTAAACTTTTGCTAGCTTCGCTTCGGTCTTACAGTGCGAGCCTCAAGCAGTGCGCTTCCCCAGTTTTTGTGTATTTGCATTGTAGGTTGACACCAAAAAAGTTGTAACTGCGGCGCGTGTTTGTGCCGCCTTTCAACTCGAGTTTTACGATCGGGTCCGTTGCTCATTGGGACGCCACAACTTGGATGATGAAGAAGCGAGTGCACTGAATATCGACATTTCTTCATATTACTGCCATGAGGAATATCATCCCATTTTATGCGAAAATGATATTTGTCAAATAAGTTTAGCCGAGGTGTGCTAAACTTTTTAAATATTCTTAATATCTTATTGTGTCTCTATGGTCTAAGGTTTATTACAGAGATCACAGTTGCATTATTTCCCCGTCATAAATTAACTTAAACTGCAGGAAATACCGGGATTCACGCGGTTTATCAAGGAAGCTCCGTTTAGTTTTGCACACAGTTTGCCGTTTCCGGAAGAATGCCGACTACCTGGAGGGGGCTCGTCTTGGGAGCATAATGAGACGTATTCATCCTTTCTGCAAGAAGGGCATATTGTTCCTCTTACACTAGAAGAGTGCAGAAAAGTCGATTCAGCTATTTTCAAGCACAACTTATGCGCGCTTGGGTTAGAGTTTCCAAGTTCCGGGGACAGTGGAAGCCCTCTCGTCTGCAAAACTAACTCCTGGAAATTAAAAGATCAAGTGGTAGCAATTCATTCGTGCGGGTATGTGCAATCGAGAAAGTGTTAATTGTGTAGAAAAATTTGCAACATGCCTTTATCTTTTTAAATAATAAACTGCCTTTTGTAGGACGGCAAAAATACGAGGAAGAATGCGCTTTACTGAATACTTGAACTTAGCGCCCTACCGGGACTTTATTTACGCCAATCATCCTCCTACGAACCAGTGCCGCATTCTTTTACCTGAACAAGCGATTGCAAACCAGATTTTTCAGTAAATGAAAGTGATACGATATCACGATAAAGGCTGGGTTGTATAAGTTGTGGAAACTGAAATTGTGCACTGTTATTAGGCATTAACGCTTCTGTGCAGAGCGAAAAAAATTCATATCATTAAATTGTGAATTCACTGAACGTAACTTTATGCCGAAAACTTTTATCTGTATTGTTATCGGTAATATAGGTGAAGGGTAAATTTACAGCATGTCCAGCGTGTGGATAAATTGATAATATGAACTCAGTAATGGTATGAAGAGTAACTCGCAATCACAGTTCCTAACGTATGTATGACATGTTTCTGCATTACAGTCATAGTTGTCAAAGCTGTTTATGATTCTGTATTCCGGGCGTTGCACAAAATCTACCCGTAGAGACCTTTAAGTGGCCACCTATGTTAAGTCAATGGGCTACATACCTTCAAGTGGCCAGGCTGCAGTTATTTGGCCCCAGAACCAACTTTCTCCCGGTTTTTTGGTATAGCATGTTCAGCTCAACTGGCTCTTTACAGAGTACTTGAAAATTTTAAAATCGGTTGAACCGTTTTTTAGTTATTTACGTTGTAAAAAACCAGTGACGAAACGCTTAAGCCACGCCACAAGAGCCCCTACACTACGCCAGCTTATTTCACCTATCAACCACACATGTGCGGGTGCAGCAAGCACTCGCTTTACATGAGCGGATATGAGCACAGAGGCAACCGGGAACAAGCTAAATTTTAAAAAAGTCATTATAATTTACAACACAATAAAAATCACAAATTAGTGAGCATGCGAAAAATCAGGCTAGTCAAAATAAAAATTTATAGGATAATTAAGGATACCGGTTAGCAGGGATCAGTGAATTGATTTGGGAAAACGGCTGGTACAAGTATGGAAAGGATTTTTAATCATTGTTGTCGTACTGCTATTAAACCGGTGTTTACTAACCTTTGAATTTTTATTTTCACTAGGAGTAGCCTGTGATTTTTCGCATGCTCACTAATTTGTGATTTTTATTGTTTTGATTTCTGATTTTTGTAAATTTTAATGACTTTTTTAAAATTTAGTTTGCTCCCGGTTGCCTTTGTGCTCATATCCTCTCATATAAAGCGAGTGCTTGCTGCACCCGCACATGTGTGGTTGATAAGTGAAATAAGCTGGCGTAGTGTAGGGGCTCTTGTGGCGTGGCTTAAGCGTTTCGTCACTGGTTTTTTACAACGTAAATAACTAAAAAACGGTTCAACCGATTTTAAAATTTTCAAGTAATCTGTAAAGAGCAAGTTGAGCTAAACATGCCGTACCAAAAAACCGGGAGAAAATCGGTTCTTGGGCCAAATAACTGATACCTGGCCACTTGAAGGTATGTTGTCCATTGACTTAACATAGGTGGCCACTTGAAGGTCTCTACGGGTAGACGGCTATAGACCGCAGCTAACGAACTGATTATTTTGTAGCTGATATATTCCGCGCAGTTTAGGCGGTATCTAGTATCTACTCGCAATACGCAGTAAAATTACTAATCAGTTCAGCAAAACTCACATTTTTCCAAAAAAAAGAAAAAAGCTCACCAGCACAGAGACAAGTCGTTATTGTTGTACTCGTATTAAACAGCCAAATATTGTACCGTACCGAATCGGTACCATATTCGTACCGAATCGGTACGAATATGGACAAGTAAGAAGTAAGAATATGGACAAGTAAGAAGTGAGATCTCCAAACAAAAACAGCTTCATTTTCAAGAACCTGTAACAGGTGTCACGTTACAAACTCCTTATTATGTTATGTGTTATGTGCTGCCCCAGGCACTGTGCGAAGCTGTATCTAACGTAGAAATTCCGATGTGGAAACGTTATTTACGAAACACAGCTCAAGTGAATGCTAGATGACTTCCAGTGGACTACAACAGAGTGGACCATCTAGCTGCTGCAAGCTTGGCGCTTATATAGCCACATTCGGATAAAAATCCGCAGTAGGAAACATTTAGAAACCTTCAGAGCCTTAAATCACTCATTAAGAACATTAAAGCGACATAACCAGTTAAACAAAGAAGCAGAGCCTGAAATCTTTAAAATCTATGTGACCACACTTGAATTTTGGAAAGAGGGGGGTATTGACTATTATTTTCGTACTGGCTTGCTTTGTGAAAGTTTTGAATGTCCAGCGACTAATCTACTGTTGATTTTGTTGTGGCGTGCGTGCGTCAGTTAGGCGAACATGTAAATGATACTAAACATTTTCGTTGGGACAATGGAGAGTCTGAGACGTCGCGCAAAGCTGACGATGCTGTTTGCCCAGAAAACGTTAGAAATTCAATCAAAATAGGTTATTTATCAGAAAAATATTTTTAGTTAGTTAAATGTATTGAAAGTTTGCAGTAAGTTTGTGAGGCCTCAGGATTTGTCTTTTCTTTCTTGGCTCGGTCAGAATGCTTGAGACCGCAACACTGTCTGTTTTTTTTGCAGTACTAACGAAATTTGGAAATGGAGAGTGTAGGTAGCTGTATTCATCAAAGCGACAGAATACCCACGTACTAAAGTATGTATAATAAGTGCAGCAGTCTTCTGATTTGTTTTTCCTTTAGGTTTGATGTATGACTGCAGTCTTCTTCAGTGTATCGAGGTACTATCACGTATTCCGCAGGTACTTACCCGAATTCAAGACGTATTCTTATTTTTCAAATTAGGAAACCCAAGAATACATGGGGAATACTAGCGGAATACGGGAGAATACGGAGACACAATAAAGAAGAAACAGCCAGTCTAAAAGCTAGATAATGGAAAACACCTCGCGAATACAGTAGAAATAATGCAGAATACGGATGGAATGCGTTGGAATACTGCTGAAGACTAAAGGTACCTTAGTCATAGAGGCGAGATTGGTAGGTCTGCGGGCTGTGCCTGTATTCCAACGTACGTATACTACCTGTATTCTGCCTGTATTCCTAATGTATTCCCTGACCTCCATGACTGCTGTCTTCCTATAGCATATTAGCGCATTCCCGCGAATTCGGTCACTATTCATCACGTATTTCCTGATGTTCCAGTTAAAAACCTAAGAAGCCTAAGAAACCGAAGAATGCATTGTTAACACGGTCAGCATACGGGTAGAATACGTGGGAGTACGTTAATGCAGCACAGGTTGACATAACGGACGTACTTACAAAAGCAAAATAATTGAGAATACAACGTGAAAACAGACAGAATACATGAGGGATACACAGGAATACGCGGAGTACAAAGAACAAAGAAACGGGCTGCTTCTACAGAGTGGTACGAAATGGGTTATAGGTGTAGATCATTGCAGCGTGAAAAACAACCATCTCTTTACTAGAGTAAGGAAAAGTTACCAAGATTTTCGTGCAGCATTACTTTAGCAAATGCGCAGTACTGAGTTTCAGAAAAGCCATATTGGGAAGCGGTCATAAGAAGTATAAGAAAACATGACAAAATGTCCGCGGCAAAATGTCCGAAAGGTGAAGCTTCTCCATGCATTATGTCCCAGTCTGAAGCCTCCCAGCGTCCGTGTGTCCATGGCCCGATGTCATCGCGACGAAAAGTCGCGCGTCGAATTGAGTGCAGCGAATACCACACTCCCGAATTTTCCGAGTGCAATTATTACGTACAGTTTTATGGTTGTTGAAAAACTTGGATACTGTACTGACATCATATAAAGGGTCAGTAAAATCCCCTGGACCGCCCGCACTAGTTGTCGGCTTCACTGATGTCGGCAGCCGACAACTAACGCGGGCGGTCCAGGGGATTTTGCTGACCCCAAATATCGTGTCAGTACAGTACCTGGAAAAGTTTTTTGTTCAAATATCGGGCTTGTACATATAGATTCCTCTTTGCCGGAGCAATAACAGTACAGATAGTAGAGGGGATATGAGACCAAAAAAATTTCAAAATTAAAGGAGGCTCCAGATTTTAAATGATAAGTTATGTTTTAAAACACATATTGTGAACTACAATGATATGCTGAATAAATAAATTCAGGCAAACAAAATAACGGAATTAGGCAAACTCTGGGCGAAGAAGATTTATATTAAAAGAGTGATTTATTCACCTTCCATTTAAATGTCAACACCAAAACCGAATTTTAAGCCATTATCCAGAACTTTCGTCCGCACGGAACGCAGTCAATGCACTGATAGTGACATTGTTTGAGGTTGTGTAATGCAGTGAGATTACGCGGTTGGATCGCAGATCTGTCCGATAAATACTGGTACACCGACCACCTCATTCCAAATGACCACCAAAAACGGATGATCGGCTACGAATTCTGGCTGCAGTTCAGCTAATGCATGACACACCAAGTGTGACCCACTTACAGCCGTCGCTTTCACGCCGTACTCATCCACATCTACAAAATTTCATGGAAGTTCAGAGAACTCGAAAGAGGAGCACAAATTACCTGCTGTCAATAGCATTACTACGCTCTACTCAAATGGAGCTAAAAGCCAAACACGGATCTATGCTGGTGTTGATAAAAAAGGTCACAAACAAACTCAGTCATACTGTCCGAATCCATACCTTTCAGTTTTTAATTTACGTTCACAAATTTGAGATACGGTGCGCGGCAGCCAAGTTGAAGACAGTGCAAACTAAATTCGTCTGCTAATTTCCCTGTAGTTTGGGCTGTTATACTCGCTTGTGTAGTTGTACAGAATTTTATTTTGAGTTTATTGAAATGCAGTTAACGTTGAAATGTTTAGAAATGCCTCGAGAAGTTGATTTTGAACGTAAGGCTGTAGTGAACTAGTGATTTTCCTACATGCCAGTGGTTTATCTATTCGGAAAATTGTGGAAAAATTATCTGAGCTACAGAAACCACTCAGTAAGAGCACGGTTGAAAGGATCATCAAGAAAAATCGAGCCCGACTATGCGCGAGCCCTCCAGAGACGAAAAAATTGCCACCGCAGAACGAGCCTACAGTGTGCATCCAGAAGAACATCCGGAAAGTGTCCAAGTTGATTGATTCTCCGAATCCTCCTTCTATTCGGGAGAAGGGGAGACGTTTACGGATCTCTGCTAGATCTGTGAGCCGAATTTTGGCCAAGAATTTGGACGCGAAGTTGCTGAAAAAGAAGAAGGTCCACGCGCTGTCGGCGACCCAAGCTGTACAACGGGCCCAGCGCGCCAGGACGTTTTTGAGGTATTTATCGCGACGAAAACTGAAGTTTCTTTTAACAATGGACGAGATGTGGATTACTACTGATGATTTATCCGGGCAGACAGACTACTACTACAAGCGGAAAAATGTTGTCGTTCCTGAAAGTTGGCAAAAGTTGCCCCGCAAAAACTGGCCCAAAAAAGTGATGCTGGCAATGGGCATCTCCTGGCGCGGTCAGACTGCAATGTACGTCGTTCCCCCTGAGACCAAAGTTGATCACAAGGTATTTATCGACCTTGTCCTGAAGCCAATGATCCGAAAAGACGTACCGCGGCTATACGGATCGGACGCCAAGAAAGTGGTCCTGCACATGGACAGTGCACTGCCTACTTTCAAATTGCTTAATTTGATTTTTAATTTTGTGCATCTGAAAAGATTAATAAACTCGGAAAATAATCAAAAGTTCACCGATTATTCTTTTTTCGAGAACTTAGCGAATCCAGGATTCCCAACTGCCAGTTAGAAAATTATAATACGGATGCAGTGCTTACCTAAAATCACTTCTTGTTTGAATTCATCTATTTTCAGTTCGGTTTTGTCAGAAAACATCCGCGAAAAGTTATCCGTAGAAGGTATGTACATCGGCTCCAGGCCCACTTTTACTGTTGCCGGGATTAGGTCCGTGCTGCAGCGGATGCGAAATTTGGGAATCAAGATGTACAGCATACCATCGGGTTCGCTTTTCAGTCGCCACGATAGAAGCCGCTGTATCGTCAACATATTTATCAGCTTCTGCATTCCATCAGCGGAATACTCCGCTGGTAATAAAATCATGACACTGAATTTCATTCCTTTTACATCCAGGATAATGATCTTAGGATCTCCGGCCTCGACAACAGCTCTGGCGTATTGCAAAACATTGTAATGACGAATGCAAGCATGTTCTTCTTTCATAAAATTCACAGTTTTTTCTACCCCGCCGGTACAGTAAAAGATGTCTTGCTTAGTATGTTGCGGATTAAATGGCGCTGCCCATTGCCCGGCAAAATCTATAATATTGATTAGAATTAGGGCTGCATTGGGTCGGCTTTCGGGGAAAAATGACGTTATCTTTCCGTCAGTCTTCTCCGCAACGAAATGGTTGACAATCTCCAAAGCTCGATCTGGAGCAGCTCGAAACGGCGTTTGAATAAACCCACATTTTATTGACATCTCCACAGCTTCCTGGTACTGACTTGCCAATCGGCAGCTGGCATCGTAAAAGACAGCATTTGCGCTGTTCAACGCGCCATCCGTGTTCACTGCATCTAAACTCTTTACTAAGTCGGCAAAAGACCTTTCATCGGGACACAGAAGTTTCATCAGCGATGAATATAGCTCACCATCGGTTCCGGGCAATAGCGCTGCCAGGACAAGTTCCGCGGAGTACGGACTGATAACAAGGTTATTGTTTGGAAAACATCTAGTTTCTACAGCCGCCTTGAAAGCTTCCACGGCAAAACTGCTCTCCGTATTTACACCAAACTCGGCCGTTTGGAGCTGTGGAATTGCGCGTTGCGCAATTTCTTCTTTAACGGGCTTCGCTGGTCTCTGCCAACTGAGCACTGCCAATGGCATGGCAGTGCTCAGTTCCGACGCGCGATCGTTTCTGCTTGCATTAGCACGAAAGAATGCAGTATCCTATTAAGCCCTCTCGCTGCGCACCTTAAAGTGCTCTATAAGCTATGCGATTTTGGTTTAAATAACCAGCTAACAGAATCGAATTTTAAAGTCTTTTGTAAGTTAAAGGAACTATTTGGATTCCCTTTTGATACAGGACCTCAATAACTTTGCAAGCAGCAACAAACTATAAGCTGAAAACAAAACGCACCTTAAGTTACAGAGGTGTGTAAGGTGTGCAGCGAGAGGGCATATTGTACAGGTACGAGCATGCGCATCTTACGTAACGGTAACTCAACCATTATCCGCCATTCACCCCTGCAGAAACGAACGAGAAAATATTAGACAAACAGAACGAGCAAATAATTATCAATAAAAGCGTAAAGTTCTTTCGCAGTACGATAGCTACAAAACCGGTTCTTCTGGTCAGCAGCGCGACCGATCACTTCGGCCGCGTTACATTTCGGCCGAACAGGTTCACTTCGGCCAACGTTCATTTCGGCCGTGGCTCACTTCGGCCGACACTCAATCGGCCAACGCTCATTTCGGCAACTGGACATCTTGGCGTTTTTCCTGGGTTTCCCAGGTTTTTGGGTTATCTAGGATTTTTAGGTATATTATGGTTTCATTGGTTTCTTTGTTTCTTTGTTTTCTTAGGTTTCTAGATTTATTAGGTTTTTAGGTTTCTTAGGTTTCTTAGGTTTCTTACGATTATTAGGTTTTGTTAGGTTTCTTGAGTTTTAGGTTTCTAGATTTGTTATCGTCTCGTAGGTTTTCAAAGGTTTTTTACGATTATTTTTGTTATCATTGGTATTCTTAGGTTATCCTTAGGTGATTCATAATAATATGGGGATTTCTTTCTATTTTTATGTTTTCTTGGTGTCTTGCGGTTAGGTTTTTAGTACTTTTCCTGTAGGATTCGTTTTTTCGGGTCATCACAGGGAGACATGATGGTGACCGTAGCCCTTGAAGAACTGCTCACACAAATTGTGCGTGCAAATGATATGAACGCGGCCCTTTGCTATCACTTTTTTGATCCTACCGTTTTAAGTTTCCGACAAACTTATATCGAAAGTAATGTTTTCTTGTAAATCAAACCAAACTGAACGTCGGCCGAAATGTACTGTGGCCGAAGTGATCGGCGGCCGAACTGAATGACGGCCGAAGTGAATCACGGCCGAAGTGAATGGCGGTCGAACAACTTTGGCCGAAATGAGCGCGGCCGAAATGAAAACGGCCGAAGTGATCGGTAGGCGGTCAGCAGACCGCAAGGTGTTTTCGACAGCAATAATATATTCGTTGTCGGGCGGTAACACATGATGATGACTGCGAATCCGCGCCTTGCGAACCCGACAACTGCAAATTTCAAGTGAACTACATTGTTTTTTTTCCCCAAATTGTATCGCTAAAATGCGACGGTATACTTTGTTATCCTTAAACGCCACGCTTGCACAAGCAAGACTGGCAATAGATTATTGATTTTAATTGCTTGGGAGAATTTATCGTTTTAAAGAAAAATTTTGAAAGATCGGAGCCAGAACACGTGCGTTTCAAGAGCATTGAACCATTACCAACAGCAAACGCTCAGTTTAACGGCTTGTGTTTTGAGGGATTTACAGAGTACATACCAGTATATGTTCATTGCATAAGAACTTAAGAAGGCTACGCCTTCTTACTCTAAATATATCTCGATATGACTGTTCAAGGCCATTTATAGGCTGCTGTTCTCTATGCTCATTCCGAAGTGTGTTCATCTACACTCCCGGTAGAAGTATCGTTAAGGTATGTATCCCTCAATCCTACTTATCTATAAAAAATGTACATTACACCCGCATTACGAAGATGTCCCAATATGGTCAGGTGAGTCATGCTAATTGCTTCCTCGATGGCCGATGCATTTGTGAATGCTATTAGGTCAGAGCGTCAGGCAGACAATAACGCAGCTTGATACCCTCTATATTTTTTTTATTTTTTGCTGACCGACGTAGTAAACTTTCAGTGAAGTACCATCCAAGATAAAAACGATTTCTCGACTTGCTCGCTAACAACGATCTCTCGACGTTCGATCGATCTCTCTGGTAACGATCTCTCGACTTGCTAGCTGCGCAAGCTTTACAGTAGGTAAGTTCTTTTTTCTGTTATTAGAATTCCCAGGTCATGTAATCTTTTAAACCCGGGCAGTGTACAGTTTGGCGGACGAAAAATGTTACCACCTTGCTAGCCAAGCCTAAGTTGCAGTAAGCGTCTGATTTCATGTAACGGGCGACGATGTTTACTGAAAAGCGAGTGCTTCTACAGATATACCGTAAATGCGTGATATGCCACTGAATTGACAGTTCGTTTCGCTTTCTACAGGTTTGTATTGAGCACAAACCCAGACCGGCATGCTATCGGTCAGCATCGAGGAAAAAATGTAACAGCCCTTATTGTTAAGCCGAATCCGTAGTATCGTGCATCCAAAGTACAGATGAACGTGGCGGCATGCACTCACAAAGTACAAAGTATAAGAGAATTTTTTTAGCGAGCGTTGCTTCCTCCAAGTTGAAATTTTCAGTTGGTTTATTATTTTGCGTCCGTATTCATTTTTTCATTTAAATTTTTCCAAATAGGCTACATAGCTTCGCTTGTTCTTTTGAGGTAACAAGGTGCTGCTTTAACATTGTCCGTGATTTGTTTAAACATGGTCCATGGATACTCGTATTTAGTCTCAATTTAGCAGACGCTACACCGAGACTAGAAATGGGTATCTATGCATTCATTCTGGGTCCTCGTGGAATCCGGTGTGCGCTGGTACGAAATATCTTCGGTTAACGAAATAATTTCGGACCGTTTTTATGCGCTAGTCGGGCTTTTTCCAGTTGCCTCGTTATTTGTAGGGTTGGAATCAACTAAACAGTTTTAAAAAGTCTACACGGAAACTGATAATTTTATTCCAGGGGGTTGAGTGTATTATCGGATACACCTTGGAAAAATAACCGAATAGTATTTGTTTGAAGATCAGAGTTCGTTCTAATAACGAGCGCGTGTCGCAACCTTGGCGATGCAGAAGCCAAAGCATTGTTATCAACATTTCGCCCGCCATATAATTATTGTATGATTTGTATCTGATTATAGTCCTCATGACAGTGGCTGTTATACCACTGCCACGAGCAATATACAGTATTCAAATTTTTGCGAACTAAAATCTGCATGGTGGACTTGTCGAGGAAAAATAAACGCCATAGTTATATATTATATAATTACATACATATTTTAAGCTTTTGTAGACTCAACAAACGAACCGTAATTTCGTGCTATTTTGCGTTGCCAGTGGCCTCAGGGAAATTCGAAGGGCGATGACACGTTTGTGCCCCATTAAGACGCGAGTACAAAAATGTGATTTTCTGCTCAGTGGAACGCCACACAAGCCGGTGCATCGAAATCGAATATGGATATTTTGCAATACACAACTATTTGATTAAATATTTGATTAAATTTTTCGTGGCAGTGATATGTATGGATATGCATAACGTTGCCATGAGAATTCAATCACGTGTTATTTCGTATATGTACCGTTTCCCACTGCTGGTAACTTTAACAGGAGCAGCGGCTCGTACTTGGATGATCAGTCACTGCTAAGTGCCAAATAGGCAACAAGTTACCGCCATACTTTCGACAAAAAACCCAGTGTACCTTCAAGTAACATTTAATTAAGATTTAGCTGGGTAGTAGTCACTGGTCAGCGGCTGGTGTCTAAACTGTTGTCTATCGAAGTTCAGCAACCTAATGTTGCGGAAGATATTACAAAATGAAATTTGTTATGTCACAATAAATGTTATTATGACATTGAGTTGAAATGACGATACTTTTTCAAATTTCCGCTAG